ACTGATATGCGCTCCAAAGTTTTGTTACCAAAATAAAGTCCCAGTAGGGCTATGCTGGCAGGAAGACCCTTGCCTCCACATGTGAGACCTCGGGCTCCAACCCTGGCTCTGCCACTTGCTGCAAGGACTGAGCATGTTGCCAGCCAGTTACACCACGAAGTCACCAGGGCAATGCCGTTCACCTGGCCAGATAACAGATTGTGGCGTGCAGTCTGGGCCACACCAGAGGAAGTCGTGTCCTGGTGCTTTCTACTGGCCTTCTACTGGCTGGAACATCAGGGACCAGATTTTCTGAATTTCCAGTCCTCACCAAAGGCCCAAATACCTTGTCACTTCAAATGCCTCCAGATTGATGCAGCAGAAGGGGCACCTCGCTCTCTGGTCTTCCACAGACTCTGTTCCTCTTTGAGTTGTCTCCTGCCCTGAGCCACAGCTCTTTTCTCTCCAGACTGTAAGGCTCATTAATATTTACAAAATAGCCATAATACATATCTTGTTTGTACACTAAGGGCTCCGCCAAGGCATATATAGAGATAAGTTCACTCCTGTTCTCTCCAACAGGTGCCCCAGGCCTGGCACACAGTAGCAGCTAAAGAAACCCATCAGTCATGAGCTCCCTGTCTTCAAGGGGAAGAGCTATCTGGAAAGGGACAGGACATGCAAAAGGGGCATTTATAGCAAACAAACCAAAACAAAAATCTTGCTGACTAAAATAAAGAAGAATAAAGCTCTGTGCTAGTGATGGTATGGGGACACAGGCACTGTCACACTGCTGGTAAGCACTGTAAAAACGGTACAACCCTTTCCGAAACTGATCTGGTGATATCTACAAATATTGCTAATGATATCAGAAGCATCAGTCATGCTAGGAGAGGACTGAGGCAGCGAGGCATGCTGGGAAAATCTCTGGCCTGGGACAGAAGACCTGGCTTCCTGTCGAGATACCCAGACCTGCTGTGGGACCCTGGGCAAGTCCCCCCTAGTCTCCCAGCTTTGGGTTTTTTGTCCACACAATGATAGAGTTGGGCTTGAAGAACTCTAGGACCCCATTCAGCTGGGATTTCTATGTCAGATAGCAGTAAGCCAGAAACGGAGTCCATCTCTTCAGAATCCCAGATGTGAGTTTAGGGCTGACTCTAGTGAGTTTGAAGATCCCCAAGTCTCTACAACATTTCTGAGAGTCTCCATTCTGGAAGATCTACTCCTCAGATACTCTTCTGAGGAGACAGTAATTGGAGTCTCAGGACTCTTTCCCTTGGCTGACTACTTCATCCATGTTCCAGAGGATAAACAAATCTCGTCTCACGCACCAAAGGAGCGTCAGAGATCACCCGGCTCTGCTCGACAACCAGAGGTGCAGCCACCACTCTGGGGCCTGGGAAAAGCACCTTCCACTTTTCTCCTGCAGTCGGGCTGCTAGGAAAGTACAAGACCCTGCAGACACTAGTTTGGGAACTCCCCCTGCCCCAGTAATTACCCAAATAATGAAGAGTCAGATCTAATTCAACTAAAATTAATCAAGTCACAAGTTCCTTAATTCTTTCCCAAGTAAAATCAATAAATTCATGACTAAAGATGTCTTCGTCAGAACTTTCCTGGTGGGTGCACTTTTCAGCAGTGTCCTCGGTCAGGAATTGTGACAGGTTACAGATTACTACATCCAGAGTGGATGTAACAGGTACAGAAACTGTACAACCTTCCATTCTGTCTATCACAGGCTCTCACAAGACAAGCAAAGCAATATCGGAAGCTAACGATATGTTCAAAGGCAGCCTTGGCTGCCAGAGGTGTGTCTCCGCCACACCGGCCACCAGAGCTCGGTGCTGTGCGAGCGTCTCTCTGAACAACTGTTCATTCGTGAGGCTTGCTGCACTCCCCTTTCCAGGGGCCCCCTTATCTGAACTCCTATGGTCTGTGTTCCACAGAGCATAGTTCCATGGGGTCTCAGCACAGAACCCATGTTCTAACCTCTATTCTAGAAACCACGTTCAACAATATGACAACCCTCCATCACGTTGCCTCCATCATCATAAAAGCGGATCGAAAGAGTCTAAAAGCCCTTGATAAATGATACTAAGTGCTCAAGTGCATTACAACCCATTGAGATGTTTGTTGGAAACGACCCAAAGATGTATTCACAGTGCCATGTCCAACGCAGGCTTTGTGGCAGCAGGGCTCTCAGAACTCCCATGTGGATGGAGTAGGGCCCAAATCCTTCAATTTTAGACAGTCCCCACCTCCCCACTTCCCACCCAGCCCCAGATTAGGGCTGCCCAGAGTAAGTCAGGGGTCATGTGATAAGCACTCCTGGTGCTCAGGATCACAGAAGAAGAAGGGGCCCCAGCTCTCTCCTCGCCCGCCCTTGCTCCTGCCCCCCACCAGGTGGGCACCAGCTCACTACATTTGCTGAACCCTGCACACAGCTGCCCCTCTCACCTTCTTCCAAGGACCAGGGCCAGCATAACATGGAGCTGCTAAAGAGTAAGATCTGTCTGTTAATTCCCTACCGACTCCAGACATAATTTCCCTGACTCATCTCAGGCTGGGTGAGGTCATGACTCCTGGAACTGGACTTGAAATTTAAGACAGAAGACTACGCCTCGGGCAGACACCAAACACAGATCTGAAACTTCTGTGACTCCAGGACTTCTCGTGTGCACAGCAGTTCAGACGATTCTGGCGTCTCGGTTTTCTCTACTCATGCAAAGTACAGAGGCTGGTGTTTTAATTTTTTTTTTTTTAAATAAGAATGTATTCATTACTGAATATTCACAAGTACTTGTGAAGTTAGAAATGAATAAAATGATAAGGAGGCAATGCTAAACTACATGACGCTGTGAAATGGTATAGCCCGTACTCATATGAACCACGTGGAAGAATTATTATCAAGCCGAGGTAATAACGGTGCCCAAAGACCGCAACAGGATATTTCCAAATGAAAGCCTTTCCTGTGAAGAAAAGGGGCAGAACTTTTTTTTCAAGGCAAAATTTGTCCTTATCGGCTGCGGTATCCAGGAATAGAAAGGGATATGTGGTATATCGTTGATGAGGGGCATGGTTTGCCCACCGCTCTGAGGCTGGTGCCGCAGTGGTCTCCTTGCGCCTGGGCTCCAATCCCGGCCCTACTCGCCAGCCTGTGGCTTCCCGTGTAGGTGGGACAGGTGAGGCCTGGAGCTCTCCTCTGCCTACACTCCAAGATCTTGTATCTAAACAGACGTTCCAGTGTAAAGGGGTTTAAGGGCCATATTCATGCATGACAATGTGTTCCATTAAATGGAGCATAAAGTAGCCAGGCAGCCCGGAGCGTGAGGGTGGGAAGGACATCGTTGTGATTAATTAAAATTAAGGAAACCTCAAGCCTCATCTTAAAAAATCTTAAAAGGAAGTCAATCATGACCAGTTTGCAGTTTAATTTACCATCTTGGCCATAGCTTGGTTATATATATATATATATATTTTTTTTGTCTTTTTTGTCTTTTTCCGTGTCCAGCAACGGATCGCAACCCTCAGTGTTGCGCCCGTACCGGACCGGGGACCGGCAACGGGATTGCAACCCTCGGTGCTGCTCCCGTGCCTCGCTCA